TAGTAGTAGTAAGAGAGAGAGAGAGAGAGAGAGAGAGGGGGGGGGGGTGAGAGAAGTTGGAAGTAGCGTGGCGAGAGAAGGAGCGCAGATGAAGGTAAAAAGTGGCTGACATCCTCTTCCTTTGTTTTCTTACGAGAAAGACGTCACTCGCTAAAATAGGAAAATAGATGTTGGAAGGAACACTAGGCCGTTAAGTGAATTCGAAGTGTAAAATTAACGGGGTGAGTTGAGCCTCCCAAATTGTTTTGGGTATTATGCATTGGGCTTTTCACCGGTGGTGTAACGCTCTCTCACCTGAAGGCACAAGGAGAGAGTTGTGTCTTGTAAGATTTCATCTTATCAAAACTCCAAAGCGTGTTAGGGATCGTGTACGTGAGCGAGACAATAAGAAATGAGACATCCATTTGTCATTGTCCTCTCTCTCGAATTAGGGTAGAAGTTCCAAGTTACATGATTGGTTTAGCCTGATCGATGTGACTTTTACTTCGAAAGTAGGTAATTCTGTTTCTGTTCTTGTTTTTGTTTCTACCTGTCTGAATTAAGCACTATGTACGATCATATGACTGTGACTGAGATTCAATGTAACTGTTCTTTCAGGAAATATTCGAGGCTCCGACATCTTAACAATACTTATTTTTTACTGTTAATGTACATATTTTGATGCATGACTCTACTTTTTTATGCCAGTACGATGTTTGATGAACTGCAGACCATGTCATTATTTATAAGCATGTAGGCAGAAATGCGGGGTACTGATTTACTTACTAAGCTTTTAGCTCATACCACTCTTTTTCCATTCTTTGTAGAGTGCACACAGATTGTTCGCGTGTGGATTGCTGGACTGTCACGCCCCAAGAATTTACAATACTGATATTCTTGAGATATGACAGTCAAAACATATATACATCTCATTGATAAGACAAATTTACAGTGGTGAATTCTTACAAAGTAACAAAAGAAAGTTTAAGCACAACTACAGTATCTTCCAAAGTTTATTCTGACGAGCACGCAAAATGAAACCGCAGTTATCCTGAAAAAATGTTTACCATAATTTGATGAGTTTGGCTACTCAGTAAGTGATCATCATAATCCTAAAAATAATCATGATTGAAAGATATCAATATTTTCAAAAAGATGTCTATTAACAAAAATGCATTAACAGTTTCACTTAAAAAAATGCATAATTAACTATAATCCGAATAATTGAAATGCATATAACATTTTAAAGGCAGTGCATAATTCAAAAGATTTCACAAATTACCCTACTGGCGTCCTAAGTAAGTCACCTATATACCCCATCAGCGTCCTGATGGGTCCACTTAATCCCTATCGGCGTCTCAAATAGATCCACTTAATCCCTGCAGGTCCACTTATACCTCACCGGCGTATCGGATGAGTCTACTTAATCCCTACCGGCGTCCCAGATAGGTCCACTTATACCTCACCGGCGAACCGGATGAGTCCACTTGCATACTTAAAGTATTTTTAAATCTCTTTAAACATTTGAAAGCAGCAATATCATGTACTCAACATATCACTAAAATCATTAATATGAATTTCACGGAAACCATTAATAACAGTCACTTTCAATAACATTTCAAAAATAACCAATCAAATATTTTGGGCTCAAATTTAGAAAGGTAGCAGTTTGTAAAGACATTCTAACATAATTGCCAATGTATAGAAAAACTCTTATAGAAATTCAAGAATACGGAATTATCACAATTTATAGGATGTCAATTCGCAAATAAACATTTCACAGACAATGCTATAATCAATTGCAAAAATATCAGTTTTCAAATAATAAGGCAGTCATTTGCACATAAATTTTACAATGTCTAAATATTAAAAAACAGTAGAAAGAAATTTCACAATTTTAGTAAAAGCATAACTATCACATTTATTTCTAATAATTTTATTTCTGAATTTTTCTAACAATAGACAAGAAAAATAAATAAATAAATTTATTTCTAAGAATTTACAGCATTTAAATTTTCAATTATCATAATTTTATTAAAAAGATTATTTTTCAAAATAATGAGGTTGCTTGCGCATAAAATTTATTTCTCCTAAAATTCTTGATAATAAGCAGAAATAATTATTTCATTTTATTTTTAAAAAGAACGGATTATTTTTCAATATAATGAAATCACTTACCTAAAATATTTGAAAGGGAGCTTCCAATAAAAATTCGGCTAAAGAGAGAAAGAGCTCACTGCGTCTCGACTAGAGAGAGAGATCTCAAAATTTTCTAAAGTTGGAATCCTCACCTCTCCGAATTTAAATTCTTATAACATATTATTATATTATTTTATTAGGCTCCACCTCATACCTGAGGTATGAGGTGTTACCTTAATATTATGCGAGAGACGATTAAGGCCCACGTCAACTAAGGACGTGGTAAGAGAAAGGAAAAAGCTTAAACCAAAAGCTTTTGAAAGTAGTGATGGTCCCTAGGGACCATCATGCTTATATGGACCATCACTTATTAAAAGTGTTTTTTCTTCTTTTTTTTTTTTTTTTTTGAAATTTTAGGATTATTACATGGACGGTGGTAGCAAACTCTTGAAGTTCAATTTCTGTCCAAGAATTTTGTTGATTGTAGGTGTCTGGTGTCGTTGCCACAATGTCATTCTGATGTATGTTGTATATTGTACTTTGTGGTCAGGCCAGCAGCGCCTTGAACTTTTTGTAAAAGAATTTTTGAAGGCTGGATCTGTGTAAATGGTTTTATTGTGCTCCTTTTTCTGGCCTTTTGTTTATGAGTTTATTTTATATTCATGGTTTGCTTTGATCCCGCAATTATAATCCGTATTGATGTCACTCCCACCTGAGTGACGTGCGTGACCTCTGGTCATGATCCCACACTCTGTCACCTTCCAGTTGGGAATGGTAGGGGTCAGGGGACGGGGTAGTGACATTTTAATACCATTTCCACATGGGAAAAACATTGTGGGCTCAAAGTGGGTGTACAAAGTCAAGGTCAGATCAAATGGTTCAATAGAAATAGTAAAGTCAAGACTGGTAACCAAAAGATTTAGTCAAGAATATGGTATTGATTATGATGAAACCTTTAGCCTAGTTGCTAAGGCTCCCATTATACATTTTATCTTGGCTATAGCCTCTAAACTCAATTGGAAACTTCATCAACATGATGTAAAGAATGTATTCCTTCATGGTGACTTGAAAGAGGACATGTACATGCCACAACCTAAAGGCTTTGAAGATCCCTTACATCCATATTATGTTTGTAAACTCCATAAAGCTATCTATAGTCTCAAGCAAGCTCCTCATACATGGTTTGATAATTTTAGCTCCTCACTCAATAATATTGGTTTTCGAATGAGCAGGGTTGACTACTCTTCATTTCTGAAAAAATCAACCTCAAGTATCATTCTGCTCTTAATCTATGTGGATAACATTATCATTATTGGAAATGAT